CAGGCGGAGCTGACGGCCCTCTGCCCTCCCTTCGGCCTCCCAGGAGAGGCAGCTGACAGAGGCCTACACGGAGGCGGTGGCCGTGCACCAGGAGCAGCTGCACCAGCTGGAGTTTGCCAGGAGGATGCTGGAGAAGGTACGGAGTCCGTTCCGTCCCCGCAGGAGGAAGCCTGGCCAGCTTTTGGCCCAGCTGTCTTCCTCTCCCCTCCTCCCTCCCGCCTTCTCAGGCTGGGGTTCTGCTGCCCCCAGGTCTCCCCACAGCAGCTCTCCCAGGCTGGGCTCCATCTGAGAGGAAGGTCCCGGAGGGTCATTCAGGGGCTCACAGCTCAGCCGCTGGGCAGCCCCCCAGTGGGAACAGGAGAAAATGCCCTCAGTCTTCAGCCTGAGGTCCCAGCAGTGGGCAAGAGGCCCCCTAGGTCTCCTCTCCATCACTCTCGGTGACTGGCCGAGGGACTTGCCAGCTTTTCCTACCCAGAGGGGTGACCCAGCATCCCCCAGGGGGGTGTGGACCCATTTCTGGGAGCCCGGAGGGACGGGGAATGGGGAACGGTTGGGAGGGGACATGTTTCCTTGCAAACTTGGCCCGGACGCTGCCTCGCATCCTGCCATCCTGGGCTGGACAGGTCCCTTCTAAACCCTGCATCAAAGCACCTCAGGTCTCAGCTCCACCTCCCAGAACCTACTGGGGAGGATGTCTCCGGAAGCAGGAGGGTCTCTGCCCTCCACCGTGCTCTCCCCTTCTCCCCTCTCTGCAGAAGGAGCTGAGTGAGGACATCCGGGTGGCCCACGGGGCCCAGCAGGGCTCTGAGGGCCCAGCCCAAGCGGGCAGGGAGGCCGAGGCCCTGAAGTCGCAGCTGGAGGAGGAGCGGAAACGGGTGGCCCAGGTGCAGCGCGAGCTGGAGGGGCAGAGGGGCCGGCTGCTGCAGCTGCGGACCCAGCGACCCTTGGAGCGGCTGGAGGAGAAGGAGGTGGTGGAGTTTTACCGGGACCCCCAGCTGGAGAGCAGCCTGTCCCGGGTGAGGTCCCAGGTGGAGGACGAGGGCAGGAAGCGGGCCGGCCTGCAGGCAGACCTGGAGGTGGCGGCCCAGAAGGTCGTCCAGCTGGAGAGCAAGAGGAAGGCCATGCAGCCTCACCTGCTGACCAAGGAGGTGACCCAGATCGAGAAGGACCCGGGTCTGGACAGCCAGGCGGCCCAGCTCAGCGGGGAGATCCAGCACCTGGGGGCCGAGAACGCCGCCGTCTCCGCGCGGCTGGAGCAGCTCAAGGCGGAGCTGCTGGCCCTGGAGCAGCAGGAGGCGCGGGTGAAGGAGAAGGTCGTGGTGAAGGAAGTGGTCAAGGTGGAGAAGGACCTGGAAATGGTGAAGGCAGCCCGGGCCCTGAGGCTGCAGATCGAGGAGGACGCCGCGCAGAGGAAGAGGGCGGAGCAGGCCGTGGCCGAGCTGCAGGCTCGCATCGGGGACCTGGAGCGGGCCATCAGCAGCGTGCGGCCCAAGGTGATCGTGAAGGAGGCGAAGAAGGTGGAGCAGGACCCAGGCCTTGTCCAGGAGGCGGCCAGGCTGCGGGGCCTCCTGGAGGGGGAGAGGAGTAAGAACGCGGCGCTGGCCAAGGAGCTGCAGGAGCTGCAGGGCCAGTACAGCGTGGCGGCGAAGCAGAAGCCCAAAGTGGAGCTGCAGGAGCGCGTCCGCGAGGTCTTCCACGTGGACCCGGAGACGCACCGGGAGATCGCGCGGCTGCGGGCCGAGCTGCAGGAGGCGGCCGGCAGGCGGAGCGGCGTGGAGCAGGCGGTGGAGAGGCTGCTGCCCGACCTGGCCGTGCTGCGGGCCCAGAAGCCCCAGGTGGAGTACAAGGAGGTGACGCAGGAGGTGGTGAGGCATGAGAGGAGCCCCGAGGTGCTGCGGGAGATCGACCGCCTGAAGGCTCAGCTCAACGAGCTGGTCAATGCCAGCGGGCGGGCCCAGGAGCAGCGCATCCGGCTGCAGGGCGAGCGCGACGAGTGGCAGCGGGAGCGGGCCAAGGTGGAGACCCAGACGGTGAGCAGGGAGGTGGTGCGGCACGAGAAGGACCCCGTCCTGGAGAAGGAGGCCGAGCGGCTCCGCCAGGAGGTGCGGGAGGCGGCGCAGAAGCGGCGGGCTGCCGAGGACCGGGTCTACGAGCTGCAGAACAAGTACCTGCTGCTGGAGAGGCGGCGGCCCGAGGAGAAGGTGGTGGTGCGGGAGGTGGTGGTCACCCAGAAGGACCCCGCGCTCCACGAGGAACACAGCCGGCTGAGCCGGAGCCTGGACGAGGAGGCGGGCCGGCGGCGGCAGCTGGAGCGGGAAGTGCAGCAGCTGCGGGCCGGGGTGGAGGAGCAGGAGGGGCTGCTCAGCTTCCAGGAGGACCGCGACAAGAAGCTGGCCGCGGAGAAGGAGCGGCGGCAGCTGAGCCTGCGGATCCAGGAGCTGGAGCAGCGGCCGCGCGCGGTGCAGGAGAAGATCATCATGGAGGAGGTGGTGCAGCTGGAGAAGGACCCGGCGCTGGAGGAGTCCGCGGGGGCCCTGCGGCGGGACCTGGACCAGGAGAAGGCCCGGGTGGCCGAGCTGCACCGCGAGTGCAAGAACCTGCAGGTCCAGATCGACGTCCTCCAGAAGACCAAGTCGCAGGAGAAGACCGTGTACAAGGAGGTGATCAGGGTGGAGAAGGACCGGGTGCTGGAGGGCGAGCGGTCCCGCGTGTGGGAGATGCTCAGCAGGG